GTTGCCTAAGTTGGGATTTGAGTGCCATACTTAAAGTTTGAGTGCCATATCTGAAATTTGAGTGCCATGTCTGAATGTTTTTGAGTGCCATGTCTGGGGTTTGAGTGCCAGGCTTGAAATATGAGTGCCATCTCTGAAGGTAATATGTGTGCCCTGTCTAAACGTTATTTAAGGGCGGGGTACCAAAGTGTGAACGAGGGAATGTGGCTGGGTAAAGGGGAAGACTGGGAGTATAGTGTGGGTGGTGGTGGGTGAGAATGGGCGTGTAGTGTGGGTGGTGGCGGGGTGAGAATGGGCGTGTAGCGTGGGGAGTGAGAGGGGGCGAGGAGTCACTTACACCCACTCTTCATCTCCCCTACATAGAAGAGAGGGGAGAGTACTGGGGAGAATAAAAGAGGAGAAGAGGAAAAGGGTGAGATAACGAGAGGTAACAGGTCAAAGAAAACCTAAGAATGGCTGAAAAAGAAACGAGAAAAGGTGGCATAGGAGAAACCAACGGCATAATAACGAGAGGAACAGGAGTACAACCGATGAAGGAAAATGGAAATGGAAAGAGGAAGGTGGAAAAGGGAAAGACAGGGAAGAAAGAAGAGAGGAGGGAAGATGATGGTGAGGGACAATGAAGGGAGGAACAATTGAGGAAGAAGACGGGAAGGGAGGAACTCCGAAGGGAGGTAGACAGGGAGGATGAAGGGTGGCATGAGAATAGAGGAGGATGACTTAGTGAGAGAGAGAGCAGTTGGAGAGGTGCGTCTTAATTACGATAAACTTCTCAATAGGGCTTTCGAGGTTAATCATTAATCATTATCGACTGCCCGGCTCCTGCCACGATGAGATGCTGGGATATTAAAATTAAAAAAATCGTATAACTTTTTATGGAGGGGAAGAGGGAGGTAATGAGGAGGAGGTGTGCGGAGGAAGGGGAGGGAGGGGGCATGGAGAGGATGGGGAAGGGGAGGAAGGGGAAGGGGTGAGAATAGGGAGGTAGTGAGAAAGAGGGGAGGGTGGGGTGGGAGAGGATGACGAACTCTTTAATATTGTGGCGTACCCTACATCGCCTGAGGGGAGTTGAGAAGGTTTTTTAAGAGAGTCATTACTGTTTGTAGTATAAGTAAACAAAATTATAATAAGTTTTTCCTCCAGATTTACACACACACACACACACACACACACACACACACACGCGTTGTTTATAAGTTAAAGGTTAGAGTGAATACATAACCCTTATCCCCTACCTTACCATGTCACCCCTTACCAGCCCAAACAATCCCCTTAAGGTAAGTACAAAAACCCCTTTCCTTACCTTACCTTGCACCTCCATCACCTTATCATGATGCCTCTACTGTACTTTATCTTGACCTTGCTATGAAAAAAAAAAACTTCCTTTACCGTAATAATTCCTTGGGTACATACAAAGCCCTTTAACCGAACCCTACAGCTCGCTTATGTCCACAAAGATAACTCACTAAGACCAAGATCCCACTGTATAGTCGACTACTGAAGCCTCTCCTCCTGAACCACCAACCCCGAGATTCAGACTCGTAAACCCAAAACATTTATGGACAGAATAATGTATCAGTCTAACTATCCGTCCTTATTTGGGTGTAAGTGAGATGTTATAAGATTAAAAACAAATAAAAAAAACAATAACCAATAAATAAACAAAAATAAAACATAATAATGGAAAATAAGTGAAAAGAATCATTGATAGGAAATCTCTCAAGGTCACCCTAGATAGACGATGGTATTTAAGACTTCCTTATCCACTAATGTGTAACTCACTCCAAGAAGTATCTTTACGATTTTGTGTGAGACAATGTGACACAACAGACGAAGGATTTTGACAACCCTACCGAGACAACAGGAGTCGCAGTGTTCATTTTGAAATTCATCGACCGCCTCCGTGAAGATTCTTTCTGGGAGTGATGCAACAACAAACAAGAGACCGAGAACTTTGGCCTCTGTAATTATTCGATCATATTTAACTCTTGGCTAACTCAGGGTATTGTTGTCACGGGATAGATGGTCGAGTAAATCTCTGGGAATCGCTTCTTTTACAGACCCCCCCCCCCCCAAGGTTTTACGAACCCTCCTTATCTTACGATTTACGCTGGTGTGTGTGTGTGTGTGTGTGTGTTTAATTCCTTAATCTCTCGAACTCTTTCTCTCTTCCTTTTCTTCTGTTTTCACCAATCGATTAATTATACATCCATTTGATTTACATAAAGTATATTCTTAATTCATTTGACTTTCTTTCTATTCTTGGTATATTTATTGTTTTTCGTCTATTTATCAACCACTATAAAACACTGATCATTTGACTGTCTAAATATCTACTCTCAATATTTTTAATTATAGTTTTATCTCGAAGTATTCCTACGTATCTACTTATCACTCTTTATTATAAACAATTGTACAGCCACTAACCGTATTAAAGTGTAATTCTTCAGCATCCCAAACCATAAGAGTTGTTTTGACATTGAACAAAAAGTTATTCATTAAAATGTAAATCAAATTCCCTCTCATAAACTTGATATAAAACGTCCCCGATATTAACCGATGATATACGAGTTCTAAACAACTATATCAAACGCTTGTATATAAAAAAAATAATTCGTTTTATAGTTGAAATAAGACGAGGATATTTCAGTATTGTGGTTCGCCCCGTCAGGAGAACAGCAGCACCACACTTCTGACGGTGTCTGTGTGAGGGAGATTAACACAGGCGTGACCGAGGGCTGGATTAAGGTGTCCTGACCAGCATCCACAACACAACAGTCAACATGCGTTCATCCTGCAAGATTTTGTTCAAAGTGCAGACGAATCAACTGATGGTGGATGGTGGGCAAATGAAACGTGAAAAACAAAATAATAATAATAATAATAATAATAATAATAATAATAATAATAATAATAATAATAATAATAATAATAATAATAATAATAATAATAACTCCAATAGTCTTCGAGGCTTGACGATCGTAGCACACTGTAGACTAACCGGTTTTTTTCGGTATGAAATAAGGTAACGTGGCCGGTACTGCATTCGACTGCTTTCACTTTCCAAATTATAAATGTAGGTACCCATTCATATCTAAGTGAACCAACGACTCTTAGGACTGAGGACGAGCACTGTAACCACTCAGTCATTGCACCCTTTGATGACTAGACCTCGTAGTTTACTTGAGGTTTATAGGCAACACATCGTCCTATTTGAGATGTGTTAACCAATCACCTGAAGATTCAACTAATCATAGGAATCAATAACGAATCATTAGCTCTACGAATCAGAGGAGTCAATAACAAATCACCTAGTTCTACGAATCATCTAATTGCACCAATCCTAAGACGAATCATCAAGACACTGCTGATGTGGGCGGAGGCAACGGAGGCCACTTCATCAGAGAAGACAATCTTGGAGGTGATCCCCCGGGGCACAGATGGTGTTCCCGGCTCCAATTAGCGACATTCGATCCTTTCCTCCGAGGGCTGCTGGCCGGGTCATGCATAAAACCAATACCTCATTTACATGATTCAATTACTACCTACGACCTCTCTCTCTCTCTCTCTCTCTCTCTCTCTCTCTCTCTCTTACCTCTTGACCCACCCTATCTCTTTCACTCTCCGTCTCTCCTTTCTTATCTCCCCTTTCCTCCTAACTCTCTCTCTATGTCTTTTCTCCATTTTCCTCCTCACTCTCTCTATCTCCTGTCTCCCTTCTCCTCTCTCTCCTGTCTCTCTCTCTCTCTCTCTCTCTGGACGTCTGTAGCTCCTCAAGCCTCTAAGTAAATCTGGGGAGTGTAATTAGTCTAGAATTTTAAGGAGAAATGGTTAATAATGAGTTGGGAAGATCATGGGAAACGAGGTGCTAGTGGTTGGGGCAGAGGTGGTGGGGAGATTGGTGGTGATGGGGAGGAGAGGTGATGGGGAGATTGGTGGTGATGGGGAGGAGAGGTGGTGAGGAGATTGGTGGTGATGGGGAGGAGAGGTGATGGGGAGATTGGTGGTGATGGGGAGGAGAGGTGGTGAGGAGATTGGTGGTGATGGGGAGGAGGTGATGGGGAGGTTGGTGGTGATGGGGAGGAGAGGTGGTGGGGAGATTGGTGGTGATGGGGAAGAAATGGGGAGTTTGGTAAAAGTTAGTACCTGGCGAGATTGATGGTAGGGGTGCAGTGGGGACATTAGTGAAGGGTGAAGTTGAGGTGGGGAGATTAGGGAATAGGGAAATGAGGTGTCTTGATTTAGGAAGTGGATGTATCGTCTCATTTTGGTCACACACACACACACACACACACACACACACACACACACACACGTAGCACAGACAGACAAACACAGACAGGTATTTCACTATACTTCACCCAACCATGCTCTTCTTCCCTTCCACTAATCACACTCTTACTGTGAATGGCCTAAGGAAAATCCCAGACCCGTCCTCCTCCTGCCTACTCTAATTAACTGACAATTACCTGAAATTTGGGTGGGAATTGTCACTGGCGCTACACCCGTCTGCCCTAATTCCTCGCCCTGTAATATATGACATAATGAACCACTGATGTTAAGACGAAGCAGTAACGAGGGCGGATGGGAACTACGATAGTGTAGATAGTAAAGGAGAGAGAGAGATGCATTTGTTGTATATAATTAGTTAAAGTCAGATGGTTAGATGGTTAGACAGAGAGTTTCGACAGTTAGATAAAAAGTTCGAAAGTTTGATAGTTAGTTCGATAGTTAGATAGAGAGTTCGAAAGTTACAGATAGATCGATAATTAAACAAATAGTTTGACAGTTAGACAGCTACAATTTATACAGTTATCACTGACCGTCCACAACCGTCCCAGCATCAACACGAATAACCAAATCTCTCGCTGTGATCGAGACAGGGATGACCTGAGACGCGTAAATATACAGTACACAGTGATGTACAGTGCAGTCAGGGATAAATGTTCGCTCTCTATAATGACACTGAATCACGAGAATGAGTCTCCGAACTGACTTACCCTGACTGTCATCTGGTGCCGGTGTGTTGTTTGATCTCGTTTGGGGTCGATTCTGCTTTAGTTTGGGAGGGAGTGAACTTTTGACCACCAGGTGTACACAACACAAGTGGCCGCTGGAATGTGATGATATAAGTAGGTCAGATTCTACTTATATGAATAATACTTAATAAAAATAAGTATTCGGGTGATATAGATGTGAATGATAATGAATAATATTTAAGATTATATAGACGCTGTTGACGGAGTAATATTCATAAACAAATTTAACCTAAACTAACCTGAATATAGACAAATTAACATAAAGAGTTGACATCTAAACCCAGACTAAACGTCTACGAAAAACAGCCATACATCATACAGGTTACTGATGATCATTTCCAAACATGAGAAATCAATTCAAACTATGAGGAGAAAAAACAAAAATGGTGTTTAAATTATGTGTTGGTGGGTAATGGTCACCTGTACTGTACCTAGCTGGGATATATACAAGTTGATGGTCACTTAGCTTGTACTAATGGGTGACAGCTCTCAGTGTACGGGATATATAATGGCTATCAACACGAGTAAATATGTTGTGACTTTATTTGTTTGTGGGGTGGAAGGGCGTTGTTTGTTTTATGTGTTTGTGTGTGATGTCAGCCATAATCTCTCTCTCTCTCTCTCTCTCTCTCTCTCTCAAACGTACACATAATTTATGGTATGTGCGTGTATAAGACAGATACACACACACATACATACATATATACTCGTTAGTAACACCCCCCCCCACACACACACAAGTACTCCTTAGAATACTCAAGATTCTCACACTGCTGTACTCAAGAAACACACTGTACTCAAGATGCATACAACGTCCTAAAGATTCCCATACTGGTGTACTCAAGAAACACACTGTACTCAAGATGCACACAACGTCCTAAAGATTCTCACACTGCTGTACTCAAGAAACACACTGTACTCAAGATGCACACAACGTCCTAAAGATTCCCATACTGGTGTACTCAAGAAACATACACACACACACACTGTACTCAAGATGTACACAGATTCCTCAAAGTACTCAAGATTCCCACACAGTATTTATGAAGCACACAGTGTACAGTAGTTAAGATTCACACAGTGTACTTAAGGGTTTATTGAACTAGTTACTGGAATGGTCCTCTGATGACGTCACTAGCAACAGATTGAGGGTTAGGTTGAATTATATGATGATGATGATTAGTGGAGAGTGGTCAATATTTCAATACTGTAACGATAAATATGATGACAAACACTTACAATATTATGATGAAGATGATGACTGATGATAATGCTGATGACGATTGATGATAATGATGATGATGGAATTGACGGAGGTAATGATGACAAGATATAAATTTGCATATTAATCCACAAAGGTTCAATATAAAGACAATTCCATTAAAGACATCAATAATCTGATCGTCTTGTCCTTTCTTTCATTCGTAGGAGAAAGCAGGAATGAAGATAATACCGATAAAGATGGAAATGGTCGAGATATCTAAAAATAATAAGAACTTAACATAGTTCATCGTAGTTTAAACGATTATGGATCAAGCAAGGTTCAAGAACTCTTACACAAACACAACAGCAGAATCAATAAAAGCAGCAGAACAACAACAGTAACAACAGCAATAACAACAACACTAACAACAACACAAAAAACAACAACAATAACAACACCAACAACAACAGTAACAACACCACCAACAGCAACAAAAACATTAACAACACCACCACCACCACCAACAACAACAGTGGCGGCAATCGGAACAGCGCGAGGTCAGGAGGAAAGGCAGTCCCAATAATTGGTTCCAGCAGTAATTACCGTATATTACAATTAACAACATAATTTGCATCAGTGACCGTCATTAGAGTTTACAGTCTGTGTTGACATTGTGCACCTGATTGATTCAAGGTTATTCCCACAGGTTAACGAATTACGGGGACAAGACGATGCTATCACTCCCAAGCCTCGATGGTCGATGATTACGGCCAACATTTTGAGAAATTTATCCCTTAAAGACATCCCCATTTAGGCTGTAATTCACGTCAGCGAGAGAGGGGGGAAGGTTCGTGTAGATTAATAATATAATTATATCCTAGACCCGCGTTGTATTATTAGGATTATTCTGCGCGTAGGAAGATTATCATTAATCCTTCCTTTAGTCTATAAACAGAAGGACTTCGGCTCCTTTTAATAGTGTAATGGCCAGGTAGAGTAAGGCAGTACCTAAACTTAGACTGGGGGTGACTGAAGCGTACTAGTATTTAGACTGGAGGTAACTGTGTCGAGTATTGAGACTGGAAGTAACTGTATAGTATCAATTATTTAAGAGTGACGTAATCTAATCCACTTACAGCCTAAACGAATGACCACTCTTTATTACACATGGCAGTACGAGTGTTATAGGTAGTTAAGAGTGGTGTAAGTGCCCCTCTGAGTGCCACTGTGCCACTACACGCTACTGGGGCTTAGTGCCACACAACCTAAGACCTAGAGTGCCAATAACGCTGATTTGTTCGTCCTCTTTAGGTCAGTTACAGATCTTATTTCTAAACCACTGCAGAATCCAATTACAATTTATAGTTAAATGAAAAAATGGGTAAATATATGAATGAGTAAATAAATAAATAAATAAATAAATAAATAAATAAATAAATAAATGTATATATGAATAAAAAAATTAATTGAATAGAGAAAGATGAATAACTCAGATCACGTGAAGAAAGACGAACAGAGTTAAGACGATGTTCACTATACCCAGCAGGTGGAGGTAGTGGGAGCAGGGCTAGCTACAGGTTCTTCCCCTTGGCTATGGACGCGGCGATATTCCCAGCTTCAGGGGGCGCTGCGGGTGATGGAGAGAGAAGCTTTTAGGTAAGGGGGAGGGAGAGGACGAGGGAAGGGAGGGAAGGAGGGAGGGAGTGGAGGGACTCGCAGATATGGCTGGTAAGTGAGTTTGGATATGATTTATGTTGAGTATATGAATGTCGCTGAGCCGAGGGCGAGATGGAAGTGTTACCGGCAGATATTGCAACTTATCTGCTGTTTGGAGTAGTGTGTGTGTGTGTGTGTGTGTGTGTGTGTGTGTGTGTGTGTGTGTGTGTGTGTGCGATGCGTGTGTGTGTGTGTGTGTGTGTGTGTGCGCTTCATCTATGTTATAATTAGCACCGATTTTTTCTCTTCCTGTTATAATTAATGATATTTACCCAACTAATAAGTCTTCACCACCAGACACTTCACCTAAATCAGATTACTTCACAGTAAGAGAGTCTCACCTTCACCTAACCTAACCATCCACCTACACCACACCACACACACCTGCACCTCCACACACCTGCACCTCCACGGACCTGCACCTCCACGCACCTGCACCCCCACACACCTGCACCTCCACACAGCTGCACCTCCACACACCTGCACCTCCACGCACCTGCACCTCCACACACCTGCCTCCCCCAAATGGACTCACTCAGGCTTCCCTCTGGCCGTATGCCATAGCAGAAAATGACACATAATTGCCCGAATCAGCTTGACAATTAATGCCTCCAGCCGTGACGACCTTTAACCATTGTTGTTTGCCGTGCAACACAAGACGCAATAATTCGCTGTTATAATTGCGCAGCTAGCGGGTCTTCTCCTCCCCCTCCTCCTCCTCCTACTGCTGCTGCTCTTCCATTTGCTCCATCTCCTCTTCCTACTCACCCCTCCTCCTCCTCCTCCTCCCAATCCTCCTTCTCTTCCTCTCTCTCATTCTCCGACCTCCGTGTTTTTGTCGCTCTCTTTGTTATAGGAAAATTATCTCGACCTGCGATTATTGGCTGAGGCGACTCCTGTTGGGTTTTTTTTCCTCCACGGGATAAGGTCAATATTCTTTTGTTTTTGTTTTCTGAGGATGGAATGGCCGCCAAAAAGTTCTAAACAGACGAGCTCACATCTTTCGTTTCCGCTTCGATAAACAACATTTAGTTCAGTGGTCAAGAAGGCAACATTTACTGGAAACTATTGTCATTTTTGTTTACTTCAAGATATCTGATAATTTTTTCATTCATCTGTAAACAAATAATCACCGTAATTTCCCAAATGCTGAAGAATTTATCGTAAATTTCCATATACCGAATAATTTGCCATAGATTATCATATATAAGAGATTTTACCGTAAATTTTTAAAAGCTGGGGAATATATCATCAATCCCCAAATGCAGGAGAATTTAACGTAATTTCCCAAATGCTGGAGAATTTACCGAAAAGGTAGACCAATAAGGAGCATAGCCGAAGTCCTTAGCACCTCGAAGGAGCTTTACCACAAAGGAAAGAACACATTGGGAGCATCTTCAGCTGTAACAGAATTAGCATATATTTGCATACGTGAAAGATGTCTCGCGGGGACTTATTTTCGCGAACACAAAGTCAACCAAGACGTCGCGAAAATAAACTACGAACGACTTTCTGATATTAGATGCACACCACCTCTCCTCACCCCCCCAGCACACCCCCCTCCACCCTCTCCTTCACTATCCACCTTCACTATATTGTTTTCCCTTCAGTTTCATAATCAAGATGTTGTTTGTCCTTCGTTTATATTAAGTCTCGCTTTGATTACTTTGTCATTTTCTTGTTTATTTTCATTTTCCTTTTTTTTTGTTATGTTAATTTACTTTGTCTCAACTTTGTTTTGTTTCCTTTACATTTATCATAATTAACTATTTTTATAATTTCTTGCCTATTTTTCCCTCTTATTTCCCTTTTATTTTCTTTCAATTATTTACTTTTTACTCCTTTAAATAAGTTGTTGCTGTGTTTAAGAGTGAGCTGGAGAGAGGGAGGGAGGGATAAAAGTACGGAGAGAGGAAGGGAGAGATAGCGGTCGGATGAGGAGAATGGAGGAAGGAGTGAGTGAAGGAAGGAGAAAGATAAATGAGGAGGGAGGAAGAGGAGGAGGGAGGGAGATTGAGGACAAAATCAGATTAATACCACAAAACAACAGGTATTAAGACATTCCAAGAGAGACGCAAGAAAATGAGTGAAGAAGGAGGAGGAGAATATGATGAAGAAGACGAGAAAGGAGAATTTGATGAACAAGAAGAAAGA